ATTGGCGAGGAGGATGAGGGTGGACGAGAAGCATGAGGGAGGATGGAGGACGAAGTAGGAGGTGGGAGGAAGAGAGAGATAGAGAGAGAGAGAGAGAGGACGGGGGAGGGGTGAGGTTGGAGAAGGGAAATTTACGAGAAAGATCACCTTCTCCTCCTCTTGCTCCATTCCTGCTCCGACTCCAACCCTCTTTCCTCTCTCCTTCCGCATCCTCCAACTGCTATCTCACTCCTTCCCTCACTCCGCCTGTGTCTCCTCTTCGTGCTCCGCAACACAGCCGAGTTGGCTCATTCAGCTCGGCGTGTGTGCTGTCTTCGTGTGCTGGCCACGCTTCTTGTCTTGACAACATGGCAGAGTCGACCTTCCATGCCCAGCGCTTGGTCGGGATGCTGCAGGGGCGCCTCGCATTCGTGAACGCCCAGGCCCACGCGGGCCTCGATCGCAATCTCCTGATGCAAGCACCAAATCAACGCCCTGACCGCGACCTTTGCCGTGGCCCCTGGAATCGACCTCGCGGTCGCCACCGCCGTGACTGCCAAGATCTCGAATGGGCCCTGGACTCAGCAGCAGAAGATCTCCACGGTCACCGCGCTGAACCAAAGGGCTGATGCCGCCTTCAGGCGTCGCGTCCGCTGGCAGTGGCACGGGGCGCCCTCAGCAGAAATGCCCTGTCTGCAGCTCTTCTTCACGGCCGCTGACTGGGTGGAGATCTGCAGCGAGAACCACTCCGAGGCCATGAAGATCAGCATCGTGGCCAATAGGCTGCACAAGCTCGGTATTTCCTGTGCCAGCGAGGGGCTGCTGATGAGGGCCGTCGCGATCATCATCTGCTGCCGCCCGTCTTGTCGGCGCACGCCGCCGTCAGCGGTCGCCTAGAGGAACCTGCGCCTGGACCTCAAGGCGCGGCTGAAGCAGCTCGCCATCGTCAAGCCCTGGCCCTACACACACCTCGAGACCTACCCAGCTGCGCCAGACCTGCCCGGCTCTGGCATGATCTACGACTACGCTAACGACGACGCCCCCCCGTCGCGCCCCCCGCCGAGCTCGAGCACCTGGAGGTGCAGGTCAATGCAATTGTCTACAGGCGCTCGAGCAAGCAGCTCGGCGGTGGTGGCACGACGACCGCGCAGAACCGACCACCGAGTGCGCACGGCTCGACGGCACGTGCCGTGCCAAGGCGTCCGCAGTACGACCCGCTCCAGATCCTCATGATGCTCGCGGCTCCGGCGCACAGCCAAGTGGGCGCCCCAGGCATGCCCAACATGTTCGGCGCTGGTGGAGCGGGCGGCGGCGGGGGCTGCAACATCACGTACAAGAGGCCGCAGGGCACGGCGACGGAGTGCCGCCCGAGCAGCATGGTGTTCGACCGCTCTGGCGCTGGCGCTGGTGGGTTTTCGTCTGCAGGCATGGTGTTCGACAGCGCTGGTGCTGGCACTGGTGGGTGTTCGTCTGCAGCCATCGACTCCCCTGCGATCTTGTCGGAGTCGCCTTTGCCGAGTCCAGCGCATGACGCTCACGTCCTCGGCGCTGCTGGTGATGACGCAGTCTCGGGCTTCGAGCAACAGCTTGTGGACGCTGCGGAGTCGGCCAAGCCGAAAGGCAAGGCGAAGGACACGACGAAGGGCAAGGCCAAGGCCAAGGCCAAGGCCAAGGCGGAAGCCACGGCCAAGGCCAAGGCCAAGCCCCTACCCAAGACCGCCAGCAACCAGATAGACTACTCGGAGTAGTCAAGCATGCCGATGCCAAGACCCGCAACGCTAACGCCTTCACGAACCGCGCCTACGATGCTGCAGCGAGGCTGGCAGTCGCGGCTGGGAAGAGTGACATCGACAGCAGGGCTATGACCAAGGAGGCCTATCACAAAGCAGAGCTGGTGCACCAGAACCACGCGAAGAAGTAGGGAGCTCCCACTGAGCACTCGCACTTTCACACGTTTTAGCCTGTGCCGCCTCGCTGACAGATCAGTTCCCAGCTACGGCACCATGAGGGTTCTGCGTTAGATCTGATGGGCGGGGCCGCGGCTACAAGCATACCGCTAGTTGCAGGATATGTACGCTTTTGCCTGCTAAAGATACGTGCGGAGTCTGAGAAGTGAGCGCAGAGCTCTCAGAGAAAGCGAGTGATGACGAAGCATCATCAACACTATCACCATCACCGCCACCAGTAACACCATCACTACCAATACCATCACCATCCATACCACCATCATCAACACCAAACTCGCCATCGCACATCGTAACGCGACAATCGCAAAGGCCATGCCAAAATCAAAGGCCGAACTGCATGCATGGGGCGCGTTCCGACCACTGAGATGATGCCGAGGCGAATGCGGTCGTTGCGACTGCGATCAGCAACACCAAAACAAGGTGCATCAACACCACGCACCAGCAACAACCAGTAGAAACCAACACATCCAAATCAAACGAAACATATAACCCCAACACAACGCCTGGAAACGCGTAGGGCAACCAATACTTCTGAAGCCAAACACCAAACAAACTGACGGAAACACATGCCTACAACACAACAGTCCCTTGCCCCCTCTCATCCTCCTCCGCAGCCGTTTCGGCTTCATGGGCGAGCGGAAGCGAGCTCGCCTGCTAGATCTCGGGCGGGACCACCAGCCATGCTGCCTTGGAGGGCCTCCTGAAGCAACTGTCCCAAGAGGATCTGCCAGAGGCCTTCAGCTCTCGGACTCAGCAGAGGCACCGTCAAAAAGAGGCCTATCAACAGACGACCCTCGGACCGCTGTGCCAGCGCATTGAGGTCGAGACCGACGAGGGCCTTGAGCACCGCCTTCACCGACGTCGGCCTGCGCCCGCGCGCGCGGGAGGAGCCGGAGGTGCAAACCTGCGGCGTCCTCCTCCACGCGTCGGGCTCGATAGACGCCTTCGACCGCAGGAGGCCCCCAAGAGGCCCCAGGAGGTACCCAAGAGGCCCCACGAGACCCCCAAGAGGCTGCCATGAAACCCCCCGGAGGCCCCAAGAGCCTCCTCCTCCTCCCCCTCCTCCTCCTCCTCCTCCACCGCCTCCTCCAACGCCTCCTCGTCCTCCCTCTCCTGTTCCTTTCTCCTGCTCTCCCAATTATTTCACTATTGGGTTCCACAGCGCCAGAGGAAAACCATAGTTTAGTAGCTTGGCCAGACGTTGGCCCAACGTTTGGCCGCGTGGGTGATTGCAAAAGGTAGGGGGCGGCGGTGATTCGCCGCAGGCGTCTTCGACCCGCCGCCCCCGGTGGCTTGCCACAGGAGTGCACGGCGTGGTGGAATTCAAGTTGACATAAAACCTAGGGGGAGGAGGAGGAGGAGGAGGAGGAGGAGGAGGAGGAGGAGGAGCAGGAGGAGGAGGAGGAGCAGGAGGAGGAGGAGGAGCAGGAGGAGGAGGAGGAGGAGCAGGAGGAGGAGGAGGAGGAGGAGGAGGACGAGGATGAGGAGCAGGAGGAGAGGAGGAGGAGCAGGAGGAGGAGGAGGAGGAGCAGGAGGAGGAGGAGGAGCAGGAGGAGGAGGAGGAGGAGGAGGAGCAGGAGGAGGAGGAGCAGGAGGAGGAGGAGGGCAGGAGGAGGAGCAGGAGGAGGAGGAGGAGGAGGAGCAGGATCTCGGCCGATCGCGCCGGCCACCCGGCAACACTGGGAAAGCCGCCCAGAGAGGGTGCAGGGCAGGGCCCCCCGGCGCCCCCAAGACGGCCCAGGCCCGCCACCCGCGTCTTGGCACGAAGCGGAGCGCCCCGAGGTGGGGCTGGGCCAAGACGCAGTGCTTCGTTCTGTGTTCGTTATTTAGGGGAACAAGAAGTGACATAAACATAAAAACACTCGGAGGTCCGCGCATTTCTCGAATCGGCGCTGGGGCCCCCCGGCGGCGCCTCCGGCGCCGACCCTGGCGCGCTCCGCGCGCCAGGGAGGGGGGTCCAGCGCCGATTCGAGGAATCCGCGCGGACCTTAGAGTTTTTATGTTTATGTCACTTGTTGTTCCCCTAGTTATATGTGTGTTCGTTTTGCTCCACCTGTTCTCCTGCACCTCCCTCCCAAAAGCGGCAGGACAGCGTCCAGGTCCGGCCCTGCCCCAAGGTGTACGCAGCCCTGCGAGGTCCAGGGCTTGTGGCTCCTCAGTTCCCACGAGGCTCCCAAAGAGGGCCCCACGAGGCTGGCGAGAAGCCCCAAAACTGCCTCCAAGAGGCCCCCGAGAGCGCCCCCAAGAGACGCCAAGAAGCATCCTCGAAGACTCTGACCCAGAATCCAGGCACGGTGGCGGGATTGGCCGAAGGCCATTCGATAGCCCAAGATGGGCTCCACGATGCTTCAAGGTAACCAAGATAGCCCACGGTGCCTTCCAGAACGGTCCCGAGACGCCTCCAAGACGGCCAAGATGGCCACAAGACGGCTCAAGTTGCCCTCCAGACGCCCGCAAGACGCCTCGACAAGGCTCCAAGAGGAGCTCCAGGGAACCAGAATCAGTCATGTTCCATCGGCTTCGACGGATTATGGCATTCTCACCGTTCCGGCTTCCGACGCTCCGAGACGGGTCCATAGGCCCTCATGATTACCCCACGACGACAGCCCCATTGGCCCCCACGAGGACCGCAAGACGGCCCATAAGGGCCCCAAGACGGGAGGCCCGCACGTCGGCCCAAGAGGGGTCGAGGGATCGAGGGGTTGTCGTGCCCCCTGAGCCGTTTTCCCTCCTCGGAGCTTGAAGGAAAGTCTCGAGGGCAAAAAGAAAGCCTCGGGGGGGAGGGAAAAACGGTCGGAGGTCCCCGCGAACTTTGTTGGCCCGCGCTGGACCTCTCACTTCTTTAGAGGAAGAAAAAAGGCACAAACATACACTTTTGGCGCTCCAAGCCCCTGCGCAGGCTGCCCACCCGAGGAACACGATCAAGATTGCGGCGTACAATGACGACTCACCCCAGGCAACCCGCTCAAGGAGGTGAACGGCCGGAAGTTGAAGGCCACCTACTGGTCCACCCTGGACGTCTAGTTCCCTGCCTTGTCCAACGAGCTGGCGTGGATGACGGCGTGCGTGTGCAGGAGCGACCTCGTCCTGCGGCTCAAGGGCGGGATGACGCAGCTCTTCCGCATAGTGCTGAAGGTGTTCTTCGGTGCGCCTCTCAAGCCTGACCTGCGCACAGGGGTCGAACTCAACATTTTCGGAGAGGCGATGCCTCGCATTTTTCGAGGCGCACTGTCCGTCATTATACAGGACGAGAAGACGTTCAAGTTCAGCAAGGAGGTCTTGGGCCCGACGGGGATCAAGCTTTTTTGCCCTCTGGCAGAACGTGGTATCGGTCAAATGCAACCTAGCCCGTGATGGCAGGACTGGCTACACGGTCCCGAGTACGGAGCTGGATGCCTCCAAGGTCAAGCTCAACTTCAACGCCAGCATCCGCGGTGTCCAAGACAGGCTGGCCGAAGTGGAGGCGACTCGGGGCCCGACTGCTCGCAAGGAGATCGAGGCGCTGCTGGACTACAAGTTCAATCCCGAGTCCCTGCTGCAAGACAAGGATCTCGGGATCCAGGTCGCGGACGCCTGGGCGTACGACTCGATGCACGACTACCTCGTGGGTGGAGTCTTCATCATCGAGCTGGACGCCATATTGGACGTGCTCAAGTCAGAGAATTTCGGAGGCGCCACGCTACACGAGCACTTCAAACTTTGGGAATGGCCTGGCGGTTACACGAGCGGGAAAGACCTGTGCAAGAAGATCCCGTCAGATGGGGCATCTGGCAAAGCCAGCGAGTACATGTCCACGCCCCCGCGATAAGACAGTACATGCTGGACTTCGTGCTCGGGAAAGCCCCGAGACTCCATGGCGCAGCTGACAGCATGGTGAAGCGTTGCGACGTACTCGACCTGCTTTCGATTGTCAACGCAAGAGTGGTCACGCCTGCAGCTGATGAACGCGATGGCTGCCCACTGTACAGCTCAGCAGACCTACTGGGGCACAGAGCTCTGGAGGCCTAAGAGCCACTTCAACATGCACCTGCCGCCGCAGTTGCATCGGCAAGGCAGGTTACGTTCGACGTTCCTCATGGGGCGCAAACGCCGCACGCCAAAGAGGTTCGCGAACGACCGCCACAACACAAATCTTTCGAGCGCAGCTTGGTCGGCGAGATCACCTGTCAGCACCTTTTCGAGCTGATGTATGAGCTCGAGGGCATCGATCTTATCGAGCCTAGGCCCGCGAGCAAGAAAATGATGCTGTTCTGCCATGCGTGTGCGACCAGGCGCTGAAGTGGTGTCAGGACGCACTGCAGATGTGCATAGCCGTGTGATCCAGATGAATGATGCTGTGTGCTACGCTGCCAACAACGACGGCCTTGTTTCTTGTGGCCGTGTGCAGTTTCATTCGAAAGTGGACGCCAAACTCGTGCCGTGCATCTCTCCACGGGACACTCTGACCACCAAGGGCCATTAAGTTCACTACCGTGCTAGCGATGCCCCTCTTTTGTTTCCAAACGGTTGTCTCATCGAGCCTTGTATGGCTGGGGCTGCTTCAAAAGGCTCCGTCGTGCAGGTTGTCACACCTGCGAGGTCGAGGCACGGACGGTGATGGGAGCTCGATGGCAAAACTGAAATGGGAACTCCCATTCCAGAAAGCCTCTCGGCCGTTTGCCGCCTGCCCCCCTCTTCATTGCCCTCCCTCCCCACTCCTTCTTCTCCTCTGCCCTCTCCTCTGCCCTTCTCGACCCGTCCGGCTCCTCGCGCTCCCCCATCCCTTCTCCTTACACATGACTTCCCCCTGTCGCACCCAGAAGCCAGTTGTTAGGGCGGGCTGGGCGTGTCGCCTGAGACTTCCTCACCATTTACGACCCTGAAGCCAACAAAAAATTGGCAACAGCTTCACAGATGGAGGGCGGGGGGTTTTCAAAAGGTGGCTCTCGCATTAGCGACGCGCACATTCGTTTCGTTCCCAAGAGGTTCACGGATTGAGGGCGGGTCGTTCTCAAAATGTGGCTCTCACCTGAGCGCCGCGCGCATTCGTTTTAAACATTTGCAAGAGCTTCACGGATTGAGGGCGGTTCCTTTTCAAAATGTGGCTCTCGCCTTAGCGACGCGCACATTCGTTATAAACAATTGCAAGGGTTTCACGGATTGAAGGCGATTCCGTTTCAAAATGTGGCTCTCGCCTTAGCGCTGAAAACATTCGTTTTCGACGTTGCAAGAGTTTCACGGATTCCCATGTGCGACGTACCAGAAATGATGTGTTGGACGGGTTCACGATTTTGAGGGCGCAACAGGTAAGATGATTCGCGGAGTTGAGGTCCCAGGAATGGTGTTCTGGCACGATTCAGGATCGCCAAGACGCAACAGTCAGGTTCATCCGTGGCGTTGGAATGCCGAGAATGATATGTTGGCATGCTGCAGGGTCTTCAAACGGTTGTCTTCCAACTAGGCAGGTCCCTCTGTGGAAATGAACCGTTGTATGCGGCCTATCAAGAGGGGGCTTGGTGGGAGGGTTTATTCCAACATCGTGGGTGATTATTGGGTTTACACTGGTCCTCCTCCTCCTCCTCTTCCTCCTCCTTCTCGCGCTCCCCCTTCTTTTCCTCCGCCTCCTCCCCTTACTGAGATCGGCGGCCCGCGATTGGGACAACCCCCGGGGGTAGATAAACTCTGCCCAGCCCCTCATGTAGCCCCCCCTGGCCCTCTTAGCCGACTTGGGCTCAGTACTTAAGTTGGGGCGCTAACCCACTTAGCCCACTTAGGCTAAGTCCTTGCTAACCTACTTAGGCTAAGTACGTAGAACCTACTTAGGCTAAGTGGCCCAAGTGGGCGGCTAACCACTTAGAAGTGACCTAACCACCTAGTAAACGGGACGCCGATCTCAGTACGGCGAGCTACCCCTGATGAGTTGGGGCTCTGGACGCCCGAATTATCTGGGGTAACTCGGGCCCAGGGTAACTGGGGCCTGGACTCCCGAAAAACAAACTCGAGTTAGCGCTGACCCGAGTTACCCCTTGTTGATTCGGGGCTCTGACTGACAATCCCGGGGCCCCTGGAGGGCCCCGAGAGCCCGAAAGCTGCGAAAAAACGAAGGACCCGTCCCTCAGGACCCGCAACCCCCATGCAAGATGAGCCAAGGTACTCCTCGCTGGCCATCGCCGAGCTCGTCGTCGTCGTCGTCGTCGTCGTCGTCGTCGTCGTCGTCGTCGTCGTCGTCGTCGTCGTCCCCAACGGCGAGAGCCACCTCCCGCTCGCGTGGCCCCGCCTCGCGCCCGCGGCCGGCAACGCCAGCGGCAGCGGAGCCGCCGGCGCCGCCGCGCCCAGAGCGGCTCCCTGCTGGCCAGGCGGCGGGAGCGTCCGCGCCGCCGCCATCCAGCAGGAGATGCTCGGCTACGCGCGCAGAGGGGCCCTGCTTCGGAGGTTGCCAGAGGCTTAGTGGGCCCTGGAAACGACAAGGCCGATTTCTTGCCGGCTCGAAAAGCTTCGAAATGGGCGTCCAAGGCCCTGGCATCCTTTCTGCGCATCCTTACTATCTGGGTTGACTGTAAGCCCCAGCCCACAGGTGCCCCCGGAATTCGAGGGAGGCCCCCACGGCCTCCAGAGCGGCCCTCGCGAGGCCCAGTGACCATGGGCTTCAGAGTGGCGCTGGAAGCTGGGGGCACCTTGGGCCATGGGCACCTTTCGCCGCACCCGACTGCTGGCATCGGCGCGGAGGATGGTGAGGGGATGTCACAGCCGGCGAACATATGTGTATCCACGCCCTCGCGGTCTGGGGACTCCGGGGCGCGGTCCCGCGGATACGCGGTCACATGGATAGATTCCGCGCGAGGCCCCCGCGAAAAAAAACAACAACAGCCAAAACCAAGTATCCGTGGGGTCGCGGCCTAGGGGCCCGGCCCGAGAGGCCGTGGATACGGGTATGTTTCTCGACCATGAGGATCAGGGGGTTATGCCTAGCCTACCCTAGCCAATGGCAGGGTCACAGATGCCCCAAGTGACTGATGGGGTAGAACACTCCGCCGAATAAACAAAACCAACCCAACCCGAATCACAGATCCCCCTGAGCCACTTGGGGAACATGTAGACCAATATGTCAGGTGAGGCCAGATATGACCCACCTTGGAGTCCACTGTCGGGAGCGACCAAGAGGGGTGTGTCAAGAGGGGGGGGGGGGGGGTAAATCATGACCCGCGGCACATGCGCGGCCCAGCGGGGGGGCCAGGGACGTAATGCAATGAGAAGAGGCGCCGTGAAATCTGGGGAGATACCATGGCCCCCTAGGTCGAGCCCTGAAATGCCCCCCTGTTCTTGGGGGATGCGGTCGGTTCAGGGAGGGCACCCCGAGGAGGAGCCGCCGTGCCCGTTCCCGGCCGGGCGGCCGGGACGTCTCGAGCTTCCTCCTGCTTCGACGGGCCCAGGGCCACCGCGAGTCGGCGGCGAGCGAGGGGGGGGGGGGAAGCGAGACGGGGAAGGGGCCGATATCTGAGGAAATAAGAGGAGGCGCCATGATATCCACCCCAGCCCCCCTAGTCATCACCCCCCTCTGTGCCGCCCCCGTCAGGGATCTCCTGACCCGGTCAATCCAGACCCGGGTCAGTGAGGCTTGCAAGGATCCGGCAAGATGCGCACCCAAACCCGGGTCAATGCGAATGATCCTGCGGCTGCAAGTTCTGCACCAAACCCGGGTCAGTGCGACCCTGGCACCTGCAGGATCCTGCACGTCCGCGCTCGGCTGACCGGCGTTTGCCAATTGACCCCCGTTCAAGGCTCCCGACCCCGACCGTGGCCGCAGATCTCGGCGATGTGAGGCTGCACCTGCGGGTGCCTTGGCCCCTCGGGCTCGGTCTCTGGGGCCCGCCCTGCGGCCCAGGGGACCCTGCCTCGTCGGGCTGGGGCGAGGAGCTGCCCCAGTCCCCCTCCCCCTCTGGGAAGGAGGGGACGAGGGAGGGAGCGAGGGAGGAGGAGGGGGAGGAGGAGGGAGGAGGAGGAGGAGGAGGAGGAGGAAAGGACGGGGAAGAGGAGGAGAGGAGGAGGAGGAGGAAGGGGAGGAGGAGGGGGAAGAGGAGGGGGGGAGGAGGAGGATAGGGGGGGAGGAGGGGGAGGAGGAGGAGGGGGAGGAGAGGGAGGGCCCAAGGACCATCCAAATCGCTCTGGGGCGAGGAGCTGCCCCAGCCCTCCCCCCTGGGAAGGAGGGGACGAGGGAACGGGAACGGGGGAGAGGGGGGGAGGAGGAGGAGGAGGAGGAGGAGGAGGAAAGAAGGAGGAGGAGGAGGAGGAGGAGGAGGGGAAGGGGGGGGGGAGGAGGAGGAGGAGGAGGAGGAGGAGGAGGAAGCAGGAGGGGGAAGAGGATGGAGGAGGAGGAGGAGGAGGAGGAGGAGGAGGAGGAGGAGGGGAGGAGGGGGAGGAGGAGGGACGGGGAAGAGGAGGGGGAGGAGGAGGAGGGGGAGGAGGAGGAGGAGGAGGATGGGGAAGGAGGAGGGGAAGGAGGAGGGAAGGACCATCCCAAATCGCTCTGGGGCGAAGAACTGCCCCGCCCCCTCCCCCGGGAAGGTCGGGAACTCTGGGGGCCGCGGGCGGCACAGCGTTGGAGGCCTGGGAATGGGCACCAACACCAACACAGGGGGGTGCCTCCACAGGGGGGGGGATGATCCTAGATTTCAGTGCTGGTGGCAATATTTCGGTCGCCCTGGAAGCCACACTATTACCACCATCACCGAGATCGGGATCTTCTTCCCTCGGTGGATGCACACCGCCGCTGCCGGTGTTGGTGTCAATCTCTAGGTCTGCGACAGCAGCTATCGCGGGGGGCCTCTCCCGGGGAGCGCTGCCGGCGCTCGGCCTGCCTGCCGCTGCGAGCGCGGTGCTGCACGGTGGCGGCCTGTCCGCGTGGGCTCGGCCCCCCGCGGCTGATGGGCCAGTGTTCCAGCGCCACCACCATATGTGGAGGATGGGGAGGTGCTCCTCCTCCTCTCCTTCTCCTCCTCCTTCTCCTCCTCCCTCTCCTACCCATGGTGGTGGTGGTGGTGGTGGTGGTGGTGGTGGTGGTGGTGGTGGTGGTGGTGGTGGTGGTGGTGGTGGTGGTGGTGGTGGTGGTGGAAAAGCAGCCTATCAGAGGCCCCCCGAAAACTGCGCAGCCAAGGCCCACTCCAGCGGAAGGCCGCTCCGACGCGCAGCCGAGATGCGCCGCGTGAGGCACGACAGCGCCCGCCTCCAGGCAGGCCGTGATGAAACCCTCTCCGACGACGGGTGTGCCAAGCTTCATGGCCTGTAGAACCTTCCTCGTGGGGCTGTCAGCCTCACACTGCGTCGTGATAAGATGGGTACAACTCCGAGTCACCGAAACACTCCGCCAATCCCCCATGTGGGGGCACGAAACTGCAAAGCACTGGTATGATTTGCAGGCAGCGTGTAGTAGTTACTTCCACGAGCTGTCTGAAAGCATGACGGCATGCCAATATTGACGCACGTGCTCTAGCAATCTCGATTCATCGGCTGCTGAGCACGCAACATCCCCCGTTCAAAGCTCGGTCTTTGCGCGCTCTTCCGAGGACCTTCCAAGGCCTCCCGAAGCGTCCCCGAGCCTCCAAGGGCCTCCCATGACGACCCAAGCACTGCGATGCCGTTTTCACAACCCATTTGCCCTATCCGCGTCCGATTCCCCAGAAGTAACACTCTTGCCTCAAAACGGCCCCTGGATGAACCGAAATTGGCCCAAGACTGCCAAAGATGTCGAAGCCGGGCCCCCATCATGCCCGTGCCCTAAGATGCCCCCTGGAGACCACAAGATAGCCAGGATGTTGCCAAACGAATCCTGATGATTTTACAGGCAGACCTGACTACACTGCCCCCGAGCAGCGAACCCTCTGGATGCAGAGGCTACGGCAGCGGGCGGAGCCACACAAATGACCTGAGCACCCTGCTCGCGAAGATTGCTCTGAAACTCCCGGCGCACAGTCGACATGGCTCCAGAGACGCAGACGACAAGGCCATCCAGGGGCAGGCCTGTCCCACTTGGCCGGGGTGGTGGTGCTCCGGCTGCTGCTCTGGCCTTGGCCCTGCCCTTCGGTGCGCTCGCCTTTGCCGCAGGCGGCTCTGCGGCACTCGCCGGCCTGTGCTCCCCCTCATCCTCACAGATGAGACGACGGTGGCCCTCCTTGATGCCGAGGCGAGCGAGATCTTCCCCAGTCAGCCTCCTAAACGCCTGTGCGGAGTCGTATCCCGCCCCGAGCAGGACGGGCAGGTACTCCTCGGCAGCCTTTGCGGGTACACCTAGACCGAGCAAGAGCGCGAGGATCTCGGATGCAGATGCGCTGTCGGGTGAGTCTGAAGCAGGAGCAACCAGACCGCACTTGCTTGCGCAGTCTGCTGTGTGCGGGCCGTCAGGGCCAGAACAACGATTGCAGCACGTGACAAAGCCGCGAAAGGCGGGCCGACCGCACTTCAGCATGCAAAGAGCCATCGCCGCGACGCAGGATGCGCAGATTGAAACACGACTCGCAGGAAAACCTGTCTTGAGCCAAAGTGGCTATTGGAGGATGAGGCTGATGAGGAGGAGGAGGAGGCTGAGGAGGAGGAGGAGGAGGTTGAGGAGCAGGAGGGTGAGGCTCATTGGCCGCATGTTTACTGGCAGCTGCCTTAATCAGTTCGCCCAGGCCTAAGTCGGCGTTTATGTTATCCATTGAAATCTCGCACTGTCAGGACGCAGCAAGCCTAGCATTTAATGTCCACTGAACACACGAAAGAAAGGAGAGTGAGGACGAACTTGGCAGCTCTGAGGCCTCGCGCTGACAACCATGCAGACCGCGAGATCTGGCATCATCCAGGGCCAGCGCGTACCCTTTTTGAAGCACTACCCGCAGGGCGATTGGAGGAGGAGGAGGAAGAGGAAGAGGAAGAGGAGGCCTTGCTACGCTGGAGCCCCCAAGAGGAGGAGGAGGAGGAGGAGGAGGAGGAGGAGGATGAGGATGAGGAAAGGAGGCTGTTTCTTAGAAGGCGCCAGCCTTACATCTACACATAAGGCCCGCGCCTTCTAAGAAGCAGGGGTGCTTCTAAGAGGCCCTCCCCCCTCCCCCCAACCCCCTCTGCGCGTGGCTGAGCCTTTTTGAACGGCGCACCACCGAAGGCCTGAGGAAGTGGCAGGCCGAAAGGCATGCAAGAGGCTTCCCAAGAGGACCCAAGGAGGCAACATTCATTGTGATGCTTCTCTGGTCTTTGAGGGTTGTTCGGGTTCTCGCCTATGTCGGGCCAAGAACAACCCAAAACGGACCAGGGAGGCTCCACAGATCGTCCCAAGACGGCCCAAGAGGCTCCCCAGAGGGCCCGAATACCGTCCAGGGTGTGGGGGGGACATCTTCAGGAAAGTTACACATTCTTGCCATGCGCGCTATCTGCATTGCGCGACAATCTACTGCCAAACTCAGAGTTTGCTGGGAGAGATCATCACAGTAGGAGCTCGACCACAAAAAACCTTGAACAAGAAGCCGAACAATGCGACCCTAGGACGTCCAGTGCTCTTTGGTGTGGGAACGGCACGCGTTCCACAGCAAGACCATCGAACCCCAATCAACCCAGGGCACCCTGGAGGCAAGCAGGGTGTTTCTTGGCATTTGTCTGTTCTGTACTGCACAACGAGTGCCAGTCTGCCGCAAGGACAAACCGATACGGCGGGAGCGCCCAGCACCTGATGGATCCCAACAGCCACCAACTCAAAGACAACACCATGCAGCATCGAGAGTAAGTTTGTGGATGCCATGACAATTGACACCCTAACAATCCGACCGTTGCATTAAAACTGTGTTCAACATGTTTGAATCTTGTTCTGGGAATGAAATGTTTAAACCATGTGTTGTACATGTTTAGCACATGTCTGAAACATGTTTCAGACACCTGGAAACTATTTGGCAACACGCTTCCTCTCCACTGATCGTCCTCCACAAAACTAGGAGGTATGTGCCAGAGTCAATACCCATCGGTCGGAAGAGGTAGGTAGGAACATGACGTAGGCAAGCGTTGAACAACAATTGGGTGTCCGCCCGCCCGCTAAAGGGGACGGAAAAGATGAAGCCACTCGAACATTGAAGTAGGAAGGCCCTTGAAGTAGATTGGGAACTAGGAATCCCAAAAAGCTACATTCAACGACCGATGGGTAAATGCCCCCTCAACCAAACATCTGAGCACGAGATGCCACAGCAACACCTGCTGCCACGCGAACCTGCCAACGGGGAAGCCAAGATGTAGTCAGTCGATCTGCTTGTCAATCATTTCACCGTTGTTTCCTGCACCGTACGAAAGCGGGGCCGTGACTTTCTTATGCACCATCCGTATTCATTCAATTAGGGTCCTCCTCCCCCTTTTCCGTCCGCCCAAACCTACCCAACTACCACACATTAATCGCAGCCCAGATATGCATGTATGTGTGCATGTGTATATATGTATGTGCGCGTGCGTCATGTGTATGTATGTATGTCCATCTGTCTGTCTGTCTGTCTGTCTGTCCGTCCGTCCGTCTGCCTGTCCGTCTGTCTCTCTGTATATATGTACGCCTGTCGGTATGTACATATGGATGTATGCATGCATGCATGCATGTAGACATGTACATGTGTATATATATACGAATATATGTTTGCATGTATGGTATGTATGTATGTAAGTATGTATGTGTGTATGTATGATTGTATGGTTGTACGGTTGTATGTGTGTGTTTGTTTGTATGTATGTATGTATATGTGTGGGTATGTATGTACGTATGTATGTATGTATGTATGCATGAATGTGTGGACAGTTGTGCGTGCGTTTGTGTGCATGTATGTATGTACACATGCGCACACAGCACACAAACACACACACACACACCATGCTTCGAGTAGGCCTCCACCACATTCACTTTGACATTCGTGCACACTTGTAGCATGCCCAACGCACACGACACACACACACACACATCGGCACACACACACACCTGCACACACACACACACACACTCACGTGCACACACACACACACACACCTAGAAACACACGCAAAAGCGCATACACACATACCCGCCATACACACACCAGGCTTCGAGTAGGCCTCCACCACATTCACTTTGACATTCGTACACACTTGTAGCATGCCCAACGCACACACACACACAGACATACATACATCGACACACAAACACAACTACACACACACACCTGCACACACACACATGCACACACACACACACAGCCGGACACCCACCCACACACACACACACAAACACACACACACACACACACACACCGCACACACACACACACACATAAACACACACACGCGCACATGTATGCCCGAATAAAAATACTCCGCACACCTCCCCTGCCGCCATTGTAGCTCACTTCACTCGGCTCAGGCTGAGAGCCACCGAAGCGAAACGTTCCGCGGTAGAGAAAGACGAGGGAGGAAGAGATAGGACATGCTGATACGGTGCGCTGCCTCTGCGTTCAGCCAAAAAACGCTGGGGCGGCGCGGGATTGCCGAATCCTCCCGCTCCATCCTCCTCCCCACCGTCCACCATCACCTTCATCACACTCATCATCCCCCCCCCGTCCTTCTCTGCCTCCTGGCACAACCGCAATGGGGACAACATCAATGGGGACGACGCAACTGGGCAGCAACTGATGTTGGAACCACCGACGGTCGGCCTGAACCCCGCCCCCGCCCATCCCTCGTTCCCGCAATGTCGGTCCTGCTCCGTTGCTTCTCACCAAGGCTCAAGCATCAAGACCTGTGAAATCCAGGACATCAAGCAGTCCGCACAACGCCGGGCTGGAAGACCTCACACAGCAGCAGGGCTCAGATTCCGGGAAGGCTCGCAGCGAAGCCGACGCAAAGGGTCCTCACGACCGACTGCTCCCCGCACACGTGGCGCCCCCTGGGAGGGCGCCAACTCCGCACCCGACACCGCATCGTGGCCGGGCTCGCCCTGGGCGGAGGACGGTGCATCTGGCCATCGCTCGGACGTCCGCTCCCCGTGCACTTCTCGGCCTCGTGCGCGGTATCTTCGCGACACGATCCAACATGCTCCTGGATGGTCCCTGCCGAGAGTAAACGAACGCGCCCGAGCGATGCCGAGTGCACACGCCCCCGTGGCTCCACCAGGGAACTATTCGCACACCAGTCTGAGGCCCAGCATGGGCCTGGTGCCCTCCCCTCGATGCGGTGCGTTCCGGCGGGGATCTCGAGGCGTGTCCAGCCGTGGCGAGACGAGAGGCCCCCCCCCCGAGAGGAGAGCAGAGGGCGAAGCAGGTGCGAAGACACCCCGAAAGGGCAAGCCTGCGTGCGAAAAAACCTGGACCCGGGATTCCTCGATCGTGGTGGTGGGCTTGCTTTCCACCGCCACCACCCTATGCAGGAGGGGGA